AATTTTGTCATATATGCTGCAGATATATGCTGCATTTCTGTAGTTTACCATTTATTTTGCAACTTTTTTGTAGAAGTATTACATTTTTATGTTTTGAAGTGTATATATATATATTTTTTCTTTCTGGCTTCCATAGCATATTTAGTTTATTCTTATTTACCCCAAACTATTAAAAAAAAGTATTTGCCAATGTTTACTTGTAGTAATCTATGCTTCTGCTCCACATTTGAATTATAAAACTATTTAGCTATAAATTTTAAATTTGCTGTGTTCAAATTAGAATATCAAAGTATAAATTTAACCTGAAGTTACTATACCCTTGTTTGAAGGGGGAAAACATCAAGCCCTAAAACCCATATTTGCAACACATGTTGACACCTTACATATTAAAAATAATTAAAAAATGGAAACATCTGTAAGCAGTTTCAGACAGATAAAATTGAGAAGGTTTCTATATTTTCAACATCTTCTTCCTTGTTTAAGGGCTATTTTACACACATATTGCTTAGGAAACTGTCACCACTGTGAATTCATTGGCTGCTATGTTAAGAACTCTATTGTGGGAAACAATTTGAAAGGGAGAGCTTTTTCTGTGAAAGTTTCAAGATGTGTTCAATGATCTGAAATATTTCCAATAAGATATGTTTGAGGAGGCAGACTGTGAAAATGGGGAAAGAAGTCAACCAAAAACTTCAAATAAGGTTTTGTATATACTCAATTAGAACCTTTTACTGAAGTTCAAGGCCTAGATTATTTTGTTTATTTTATTCTTCATTAAAGTGCACCTCTGCCTCAAACTAGAAGTTAAGTGCCAAAATTTTATGCATGTCTCTTCTCAAAATGTTTCCAGAAAGATGGGAAACAGGAAGTACTTGGAATCCTGTGAGAAATTCTGTCTTCAGATTTCTAACTCCATTTGTGTAGATTTAGGTACACAGTTTCATAAATTGTTGTTCCATGGAACACTAATCCTAAAAGATGCATCATGATAAAAAACTGTTTATTTAATGTCAGCTTCCCAAAAACTTGAGAGTGGGACTCTAAATAAGTGAACACCTGATAAAAATATACAGAATGCACTCTAGAAAACAGTGCACTGGAGCTTGGAATCAGCATCGGTATTTTGGATTATGTATTTAAGTCTAAACTAAACTTACTGCTGCAGGACATCATCAGGGAAAATATAACTACTTTCTTTGTCTATCTAATTTTAGGATGCTGGAGCTATAATGTTGTCCTTTAGATCAACGTTTACTTGTAGGTCTCTGTATCTAGCTGGGGTGGCCTCTCCCAACTGATCTGGATAGGGAAAATGTAAGAGAACCAATAAGACTTCAGGACAAAATGGGATAAAATTACATTTAATGACAGAGGGGTTAAGGCAGAGTAGTGCTTAAGAAAATCTCAATTCAGATTAAAAAAAAAACTGGCTTGACAAACTGTAAAAGATCAGTAGACTAAAATATTACAAAAGATGAGCTCCCAGAATAACCAGATGGAGAACAATTACTAAGGAGATGTTAAAGTGATTCCTTGCTTCCTGACAGAATATAAATGGGTGGAAGAACTAAGTAGAAGATATATTACACTAAATCAGAGAGGAGAGACTCCCATGCTAGTGTTCATAACACTGGGATGTCATGGGCACATTTCTAGGCCAACAAGTTAAAAGACATGGCTTTTTATCTTGGTTCTGACACAATGAATGCATGATTTTTGGACAAGATACTTAGATTCTTATTAACTGAGGCTTGTGATGTCTACTCAGTCTGTATCTCTCTATTGCTTTAAGAATCAAAGGCGATAAGGGCTTTAAAGGACTACGCAATTATGATGACATATTGCAACAAAGTGATTAATGGAGATAGCATTTGCATTTTTTCTGGCAAGAAAGTTTTTGATTCAAACCATTTTAGAGTAATGAGAAAGAAGGTCTGACTTCCCAAGTAGATAATAACCAGTGGATGAGAAGTATCTAAGGAAAGAGAATAGTTTGCTTGTTTTTTTTAAGCCAAGTATGAAGAGAAGATGGAAGTAAGGGATGAGCAATTTTGGAGAAAATGGAAGTACCAAGAAGAGATCAGTCTTGCCTGAAGAAGTCTAAAAAGTTACAATTAATATAATGGATATACGTTAACATTCCAAACCCTACGAGGTGTCTGTGACGTAGAGGACAGATTTTACTTCTGTGGGTAGTCCCTTCTTTACTTTGCATAAATAGCTATTTTAAGATGATAGGCTCTTTGGATTTCTTTTGTTACCTGGTGGTCATGGTGCATTAAATGTTGTTCAGTAAATTATGAAAATTAATGTTCTTTTCATCATGTTAAGTGCATATTCCTTTTACTCGGGAAATGCAGACTTTTCTTCCGTAAGCCAGTACCAAGTTGTTTCCCTTGACATAAGGGAATTCTTTGATCAGCTTTAAATTCTCAGCTCTTTCCAAATTATTCTGAAAACTCAACTAAGCAAACAAGCAAAATCCCTTTACTGACATCTCAGTAGCAGCCGTCTTTAAGGATATACCCTCTTGAACAGGGAGTACATCAAAAAAGTGGAAAAACATTGGTTTAAAATAATTTTTTTAAAATAGCATTATATCTGAAACAAAAGTTTCTTACAGCTGCTATTGTTTTATTTGAGGTTGTTCATTCAAAATAAATTCTTAGAGTAGAAATGGTGTTTTATATTTTACATAGTGCTAAGAACACTATTGGCACTTAGCAAGTAATAAATACAAGTTATAGCTATAGCATGGTATTTTCTAAACCAGAATGCTACCTAGTGATGAGGAAAATTGAAAGGCCAGTGCTCATCTTTTTGTAGAAACAAATTGATAAATCAGATTTCTGTCCAGCATTATACGACTATTTCACCCTAATTTTGATCTTTACAGTATTATCATTTTAACAGTTAATTCTAAATTTTCTTAGAAGTATACTATAACTCTTGTGAATTTAAAAGACAGGTGTTTTTGTAAATTAACTGACTTATTTTATGGGCATCTTGCATCTGATCATTAGGAGGAAAAACAAAAAAATCAAAAAGTAAACTGAGAATGAGCTAAGGTATCAGTGGTGGTTAGTTCTCAGATCCAAAGGCCAACAATTACAAGACACAGAGAAAACTTGTTTTGACTCCATAGCAAGTGCACTAATCATTTAACCAGTGGTTGGATAAACTTTTTAACTGAGAAGGGCTTTTTGTTTGTTTGTTTTATTTTGTTTATTTTTTAACCTCTAACTTCAGCAGGAAATTATTGACACAGAAGAAAACACTAAAAGATGGTGAATCCTACCTACTCTTTACAGATGTTGTCTTTTATCTTACCCTGACTTCCGTACCTAAGATTTTCATTTCCAAAAGATGGCTTCAGAAATTAGATGGCCATCACAAATTTCCCTAATCGCTCTACCTAGGTTCTATCCAAATTGAGTTTGCTTAACAATCAGGGCAGGTCTTCTTTCATTATTGGTGTCCCACAGAGTGAGAGCAAGCCAAAATAGAGGCATGGCTTCTGTTACCTTGTACAAGTCACAGAGCTGCCCCTGACAGGTCTCAGTGGAAATGAGAAATGGGAATCTGGACACGCCACCCAAGGTGTTGTAAATTAGTATGGTAACATGAATAGAAGCATCCCGGTGTTTTTCAGGTGTGGTTCAACAGTCAACTTTCCTGCCATATTCTGAGCCACATTTTCTTGAGGACAGGTTGGTTGGCAAAGATCCAGAATGCTCATGAGCGGTTCTCTCCACACTTGTTAATCTGTGTAAAGGACAATCAGATATTCCAGCTCCTCCCCCAGTACGTCAAATAGGAAAATTTGGCTCTTCTAACATGCTCTATTTATGATTTAAGTATTAAATTTAAAATATTCCCTGGAGTCCCCTCATTACAAACTTATAGGGATGATTCAGTGCTATATTTCTCCAAGGTAAATTAAGTGCCCAGTCTGGTATGTTACATTTGAATAACACCTTGTAAACTAAGGACTGGTTGAACCTTCTGAAAATGGAACTGAGGAAACTGAATCAGGCTTTCCTCTGAGGAATCTTAGTATATTATACACTCTATAAAATGTGAATACTTTTTATTTACAGTCAGTTGCTAGGATCCAAGAGTGCTTCTGCATTCCCTATCAATTTTAATGTGCAATATGCAAGGGGAGTATCTTCTGAAGAGTTGTGAGAGAAGGAAGGTTCTCAGCTGAAGATTACATCACCCTGAGCAAAATCCCATGTCTTTTTGTAAGACCACACCACCAGCCTGTGGTCTTCCTGTGCAGAACCATCTGTGCACTGATTTGGGAGCTTGTGGTGCTTTTAGGCCTCATTCTGAAACTTAGGTTGAGAGACAAAGTAAGCTATAGTTACGATACAGGATTAGCCAGCAGAAATGCCAAGAAATTCTCTGTGATTTTGCATAGCTTACTTTTTGGTCTTGTGGGTTCTGCTTCAATATACTATTAACTGACCCCACAGAACTATTGTGAAATTTAATCACTGTTAATGTTTTGAGAATCCCAAATGAATGCAACATACATTTTAAAAAAATAGTCTCTATATTTTGTTTGTATTTTTCCTGGACTATGCTATCAGTTTCTTACTGGACCTATTTCCTTAATGAAAGTTATATTATAACTTTCACAGACTCAAATTATTTGGGTCCAAGTCAGCTACCTTGGATATGAAATGTACCCCAGGAAAAAAAGAATTATGTTTAGGAAATAAATATTACTCTGACACCAAATGTTCTAATTATTCTTTATTTGATATGTTATATATGTAACTCCTATATTAATATATGTATTAAATATTTATATAAATAACATGTATATTAGGGTGTGTTATATATATATTCTGAAACCATCACTTATAATATATATTTACATTGTAACATACCTAACTAAAATTTCTAACTTTAAATGAACTCAGGATCTAGTTGAGTCATATATTTTTGTATAGCATTTTTTAAATAGTCTTGCCTTTATTTTCTTGTAGTTTATTAGAACATAAAATCTTAGAAATGGAGGGAAAGCACAAGGAAGAGTTGGACACCTTAAAAGAAGAGAGAGAGAATCTTCAAATCTTGGTTACTCGTCAAACATATATAATCCAGGAGCTGGAGAAACAACTGAACAGGGCCACCAACAATAATAGTGTCCTTCAGAAGCAGCAGTTGGAGCTGATGGACACAGTGCACAACCTCGTCAACCTTTGCACTAAAGAAGGTGGTAAGAATTTCTTCAATTTGGTATAGTGGATATTTTATTTAACATGGAGCAAGTAAATATTTAATACTAATTTCTAGATTGTATTGATTGTTGTATAAGAGCAGCAAAATAACTTTATTCTTAGAGGCATTGCATGAAGTTTGTACTCACAATTTTCTCATGTTTTTATTGTCAGAGAATGTATTCATAAGCTTGAATTTGTGAATTCACAGTATCTTTCTGAAAGAACTTTCTGGTTTCTTCTGTCTTGCTTGCTCTTTGTAGCCTTAGATAAAACCTGCAATACTGTCATAGATATATGTTTGATGCTATGATATTAGACACTTTAATATAGAAGACAGAAATTAACCGATGTTAAAGATTAATTCAGAGTCCTGGGAGAGTTTCAGTAAGATTCCTGTATTAAAACTAATATTAATTATTTCTTTTGTAGAGAGAGAGAAGGAAGAGTTGGTTACAGAGACAAGGAGATATAGAAGCTCCCAATAACTATTATAAAGGAGAAAGAATCTTTGATATTAAAAGTCTTTATAAAGATCACTTATGTTTAGTCCTGTGTGGAGAGGACCTAACCAGGGCATCCAGACATATTTATTCTGGACTGTCTTGGTGACAGTGGAAATATACATGTTTTTAAATTTCTAGTATAGATAACTACAGTGTTATATTAGTTTCAGGTGTTGGAAATTCAAATTTTTAACATGACTAGAATATCTGGAGCCACTTAACCACTGAAAATATTGTAGGTCCCTGTCTCTTTAGAAGATATTTATCCATCTGCCCATTCCCACCCAACAATTATTGAATGAGTGCCCCTGAGAACACTTGTCCACTTCAAGCAGATTGTCTCCCTAGCCTCTGGAGAGCTCTTCAAAGTTTGGAGCTTAAAGGCATCTTCTGTAGTTCTGGTCACTAATCAACCTTTCTCTGAGTGAGGATGCAATGAACATAAATAGTGGTGAGTGAAAGAGAGCACCATTTATGTCTGAAAGCTATGGCTGTCTCTAAGCTGTGGTTTATGTGACCATTCATGCGATGGTTCCATGTGCATATGCAATATATATACCACAGAGGCTTCTTTAATGATGGACATGAACTCTATGAAAAATGAGCTCAATTCCATTCTTTCATGTATAGATATGAGTATAGATGATAATTCTATATGAAGTGATCTTGTTTTAAAGACATTTCACATTTTTCTATTACACTCCATTACCTTGAGTTATATCTCATTTAGATAGTCTAAACAAGTCCTTAATATACTTTGTAAAGAATATTTTTTAAACAGTAAGTTCCCAGAGCTCCATTTGGGTGTGCTCCGAAATGTGATTGGGAAGGAAAAAACCTGCTAATCAGTCAGCGCCTGCCAAAACCTTGGGTTAGAGTCCACTGGAAGGAAAGCTTGGTATGATTTTGCCAGAGAATTTTAATGGAGCTCATGAGTATTTAGAAATTAAGTATTAATATGAGACATATCTATTCTCATATTGAACTGAATACATTAGGGGGAACATTGAAAACATATTTTTCTTATCATCTTAAGACTTAAAGCACATGGAGTTGAGTATTTCTTTTTTTTTTTTTTTCCTTCATGATGTTAAAAATCAAGCCCTGGTGATTCTCACAGAGCTCATATGTCTGCCTACTTATCATAATTTCACTTCTTCTCTGAGTATTTGTCCAATAAATATGTCTATAAACTTTTAGAGGCAGGGGTGGGAGTGACTGCAAAAGGAAAATTCTTGGCTAGGTTTGGAATTTGGGTGCAACAGCAGACAACCAAACATCTGTTTAAGAAACATTTATTGAACAATTATGAACCTGATAGATGCTACCCATAAGTAACATCTCAGGGTATGTGAAAAGTAACTGTGTCTCTTTTGTGATATACCCTATCCAAAACAAACAAAAATAAGAGAGACAAATTGTCTAATACTTCAGGCCTCTTGATATTTCTTTTTAATGATACAATCCTAAAATAAATTCCAATTTAATTGCAGGACTTGTGATCATCATGTAAGTGTATTACCCCATTTTCCAGTGGGTTCTGTGCTCTCATAACCATAGGTTTTATTTGCTTCTTGTGAATTGTTGTTTTCTTTAATTCTATAGTTAATATTCTGACCAAATATTTGATCACTTAAGGATTCATAAAAGACACAAAAATAGAAAGTTCCTCTTACTAAGGTTTCCATCAAGATTTTAATTCTTTGCATATCTTCATTTTCACTGGTGTCATAGTCTTTAGTTATGGTGAATTTGAAATTTTAAATAATTCATACCATAATATGGCTTAAAATCAGTTACTAAAATGAACTTATTTCATCCTAATTCTAAAACATATAAGTAAAACATTTTCCTACTTTTGTGACCAACAACTCATTTATTAAATGGATTTGTTATTGATCAAGAGGTTTATGCAAATATTCTTTTATATTTAAATTTATGCAAATGTGCCTAAAATCAATATACCAAAATAAATGCATCAGTTTTTTAAAAAATATGTATTTTAAGAACTCCAAGAGTAATCTTCTAAAATATTTTCCAAAATCTTCATGAGCTATGTTATAATACAAAAGCCAAAAATGTTTAATTGACATTAAGGGTCCTCCATTTCCAACTTGACCCAATCACTTATGGAGACAGCCTGAATGTAACACTACAAAGTAAGAGAAAAGATTTTTTAGTGAGTTTTCTCTGTCACCAGCAACTAATTTAACCTTTATGAAGCTGTTTCATCATTTTGTAAAGTCAGAATAATTGTGTCTACTTCTCAGTGACAGGGAAAGGATTAAATTAGGTACTGCCTATAAAAGCAAACAACACATGACATAATTGACTCGCTAAACTTGAGTTCCTTCTTTCTCCTCCAAGTGACAAGTTTCAATTAAACACAAATTTATTAAGTGTTCTCTATAAGCAAACTTTCTTTCATGGAAAATGTCTGAATACAAGGCTCAAGAGTGTTTAATTGCGGACAATCATCCAAGCAGTTTCTTTTAGCCTCAGTTTTCTTATCTAAAGTGGGATCATAATACATACCTGATGAGTTTGTAGTAAATTAAAAGAAGTTTTTATAAAACATATAGCATCAGTGCCTACCATAGTAAATGCTGAAAAAATTGTAGTTAATTTACTTTTATGCCTTCTAAAGTGTTTATAACTCACTAATGTTACTTGATAAAAGAATTCCCACAAGTGTTAGCTGGAAATTTATCCTTTCCCTAAAGTGTGTTTGGTCCAGGAATTGTAAATCCATCTTTGCGTGTAGGGATTATTTCTGTTTAGTTTCACAGAACTTTTCCTACTAAAATATCTAATGTCATAAGATATATTTAAGCTAAGTACAATTTTTAATAAACACACTTTCTAAATAATTGACCAACCTGTCCTCTTTTCCAAACAGGCAGTAGTGGTGTTTTAGACAAATAATCATTTCAAACTGAATTGCATCCATTTTGTGAGGCTTCTGGGTAACACATTTTTTTTGTCTAACCTTTGTCTGCAAATATTTGGCCACACTTATTCTTAGAAACATTACCCACTAAAAAAATATTGTTTTTTAGTTATCATAGTGTCAAAATTTAGCTGGTTGCTTCATTTTTTTGGCAATTCACAAATTATTGCTGGAATTAAATAGATTATATTGATAATGGTATGGATACAAGGTGTGGAATTCTTCCAAGAAGGATAATCAGGTACTGTGACCATCAAACATTCACCAGTCATCTTTATGTTCAGAAGCGATGAAGCCATCACCACATACATTGAGCACACATGAGGCAAACATCATATTATGTGATCAAGAATTTAATTAGTAACAAAGCATTAAAAAAGAAGAAACAAAATAATATTTAGCTTCCACTCTCTACCATGGGCTGGTTTTCTTACTGTCTAAATCACCTTGGAACATACTCCTGCTATACCAAGGTATGATTAATAAATTTATCCATTCATTCAAAAATAGTTATACAACAACTGTTCTGTTTCATATTCTCTTCTTGGGGATAAGAATATTCATCCATTTTTATTTAACAAATATTTCTTGAGTTCTGGTAATATAGCAGATGGAGTTCAGGCCACTGGGTAGAGAGAGAAGTTGTATTTCAGTTTGTAGCTTCAAGGAAACTAGAATTTGGTGGGCAGAGAGACAGATAAATACACAATTATATTTCATATTTTGTATTTTGCTACATGTGAGGTTAAGATGCCAGGGCACTAGTGAAATATGTAAGACAAATATTAAAATAATGGCAGGGACAGGATGAGGGCATACATCATCTGCCATCCTCTTAAGGATTTTGTTGAATGCTTGCTATAATTCAGGCATTGTTTAAGCTTTATAGTACCAACAATAACAATATGAGGTAAATACTATGGCTAGTCCCATTTTATAAATTCTACAGAGAACTTGAGTAATTTGCCCAAGGTTATGCATAGCTGATAAAAGTTGATCCATAATTAAAACATAGGATGTGTCTAATGGGATAATGATGGCTAAGCCTTCAAAATGAAGAAAGCGGAGGATACTCCAGACAGCTCAGAGAATATGTATATTGGCCAGGAGTCATGGCAAGGCGTGGGATATACCTAAATGCATAGCTTAAGTCTCAGAATCAAAACCAGAACAGTAAAAGATGGAGTTAGAGAGGTAAACTGAAGGAGACCAAGGAAGTTGCATTTTTATCTGAAAGCAAACAGTAAGGCATCCTGTCAATGTATGAGGACCATGCCAACATTTGCATTTTAGGAAAAAATTGCCCCAGTCACAATGTAGAAAGAATGTACCGGAAATTTGATAAGCTTGGAAGCAGAGGGACCAGATGGGTGTTTTGCCATTTTTATTTAAATATTAGCAAATACTTGAGAGTAAAAAGCCAGTCTTTTGAGCCCTTTGCACATATTAACTCATTCAGTTCTGATAACAACTCTGTAAGCTGGGTGCTCTCACTAGCTTCCTGTGACAGAGAAGGAAACTAAGCATAGAGAAGTAAATC